TTTTTAAAAAATTGACTCCTCAAAAATTCATTAACACAACTTTTTTTTTTTTTTTGGTTTTTTGGTTTTTCTCCGGTACCGGGAACCGAACTCACAACCTTGCGCTTGCCAGGCAGGCGCTTTTGCCGCTGAGCTAAATCCCCAGCCCCTTAACACAACTTTGACTTTGTGTATAAGCATTGTGTGTGCATATGTGTGTGTGTGTGTGTGTGTGTGTGTGTGTAGAAGCTTCTTCAATAAATGCATTTGTGGTAGATAAAATATCTCAAGATCTCACCTCTTTGAGCTACTTCATATGTGGTGGTGACACATGGTGGTTTTGATCTACTTCTTTAAGATTTAGGTTGCTTATCACTCTGTTTCATATGCCCAGAGTTAGAAAGCTGAGTGTACACAATTGCCAGTGGTAGGCACATGCATTTACACGCTTCACTTTTTGGTCTATTTCTTTCTGAATATGCTCTGTCTGCTTAGATCTGTTATACCTGTGCTAGTGTCATTTGCTTACTGAAATGTTTTTTATGGTAGCAAGGGTATGTGTGTTACTATTAGCAAAGATATGTATGCTATTGTGTGAAGAGGCCTATAAAGTATTCTGTTGTGTTTTTACTTTCCTCAAATCCTCTTTCAGAAATTCAAGTAAATATCTTTTAAAAATTTTTAAAGTTATCTCTAGAAATATACTTTTGTAATTTTGTTGTTTCTGGGGGAAAAAACCCCTTTGTTTCCGTTGAAACCATCTTTGTGCCAGCACACCATGACTGGAGTTGGAAGTTTTTGCTCGCAGCATGAGAAAGCTGGGGAAAATAGCTTATCTTTTAAAATCTTAATTTTTCCCAGTATTCTCAGAGACTGAGGCGGGAGAATCACAAGTTTGAACTGAACCTCAGCAGCTTAGTAACTTAGAGAGATTTTGTCACACACACAAAAAAGATTGACAATGTAGTTCAGTGCAAAGGCCCTGAATTCAACCCCTAGTACAGCAAATAAATAAATAAATATGTTAATTAATTAATTTAATGTATTTAATTTTATTATTATTGTATATGTTAACAGTGCATAGTGATTGTATTCCCCACAAGGAGTTGGGACGTGTATATAACACATGTTAATTCTTTTAACTTCCCTTTCCCCTTCCTGTTCCTCCCCTCTGTAGGTCCTGTTCTCATTTTCCAAAAGTCTATCTCCCTCATTCCTATCATGTATTCCTTATTTTTCCCTTTAAATTATTTATATTTAGGTCTCTCGTATAAGAGAAATCCTGCAATACTGAAGCTTGTGTGTCTGATTTATTTCACTTAACATTATGATCTTAAGGTGCATCCATTTTCCCACACATGACTAAAATTATTCCTGGAGCACTACTCAACCATAAAAAAAATCCTAGTTTTTCAAGATCCAGTTTAACCTCTCAGTTATGTACATAACTTCTCATGGCACAAAATGAGCTGCATGATGTAAAATTTGATTGATCTGCATATTGAAAGCCAAGAAGGCAATGTATACCAAACTTTAATAACAGCTTTCTCAAGCTGGTGGAATTGTGAGTGGTTATTCAAAAAATATGTACAAATCCTGGCTCTGTGGTGGGAAATGAAATGAGAGAGCAGAAAGAGGCTACAGCAGACGGAGCAGTCCCTGGGCTTATAAAACGACACTCAAAGCATGCAGACAGCTCATGAGCAGCAAAGGAAACAGCCCTGGGACATAACATTGAGACAGACAGAAGGTTTTTCAGAAGGTCCGACCTTACATCAAAGATCTGAAGGACAAGCCAGAACCAGTTCTGGAGAAAGCCAGGGATAAAGAGGCCTCATTCAGCTCATCCCCTACTGCTCTTCCATGGTGAACTCAGCTCTAGACACACTAAGCTCCTGCCATGTCTCTGTCTCCCTGGTTCCACAGGACAATGCCAAACCAAAGGGTTGAAGTGACAGGCAACATGGGAGGCAGTGTGTTCTGCTGCAGAGAAGCTAATTCCATCCTGCAGTGAAGTAATTTCAAGCCTGTGCTATCCTCTCAGGGACAGGGGCGAATGTTTTAGGCTGTTCCCGTTGCTGGAGCAAAATACCTTAGACCAGGTAACTTACAAACAACAAATCTCTCTCTCTGTCTCTCTCTCTGTCTGGAGGCTGCAGAGTCTAAGACAAGGCACCCACAGATTCAGTGGTGTCTGGTATGAACCCATTTCCCACAGATGGCGCCTTCTCGATTCATCTTCACACATGGTGGAAAAGACACACAAGCTCCCTCAAGCCTCCTTACAGGGTCACTAATCCCCTTCCTTAAGGCTCCACCCCCACGGTCTACTCCTGCCCTAGGGCCCCACCTCTTCACCATCACTTTGGGGATTTGGTTCCCACATATGAGTTTCAGGGAGACCCGAGCATTCATGGCACACAGCACTAGTCATGGTGGAAAGTCCATCCCTCACTGGAGCTGAGACTGTAAGTGAGAAATGCCCCAAAGTCGTCTCATAGAAGGTAAAGGGGAGAGAGAGCAGGCATGATGACGCACACCTGGACTCCAGCTCTCTGGCAGTCTGAGGCAGAAGGATCCCAAGTACCAGCCCAGCCTGGGCAGCTAGCCATAGGAATGCACATTTTCCCAATTGCCTGGGAGAATCACATGACTGATCTTTGCCTTCAAGACATGTGTGCAGTGGCCCAAGGTTGCCAGGGTGCTGTGGTAGAGCCCTTCCCTTGCCCTGTTTGTGCCTCAATGTACTATCCACACTCCAGCCCCAAGGCCTTGGCCCATGCAGTTCCCTTTTCTTGAATACTCTTCCAGTTATCTGTACAGCTATCCCTTACCTGCTTTAATGTAACTCAAAGGTTTCTCCTCATGGGGTCCTGTTATGACCAGCAATTTTGCAACTGAAGTCCCATCTTTCCAAGCTCTTTCCATCCCCCTTTCCGCTTGGCTTTTCCTTGTAGGCCTCATTAGCATCACACATGTTTCCCCAGCTCAGTGATTCTAAGAAATTAATTTTTCAACATTTACTTCTCATGTTCACATTCCGTGTCCACACCTCAGCTGCTAAGGTCAGGCAGAATGTCATCTCATGATGCTGGGTCTGCAGGGTGTATGTCAGCAGTTGAGAGGAGACTCCCACAGACAGGACATTCACAAGTCTGGTTCTAAAATTGATTGAGGCGATCCGAACTCTGATTGTGATCAGGTATACTTTATCCAATTTATTTTGCTTATATTTTCTTTTGTGATGTTAGCACCAGCGAGATCTATAATAAAAATCAATGTCTGATTAAGTCTAAAGGACGTCTTTTAGTAAGTACAAAACAAGAATTCTATGTGTTAAGAAATCATTGTATCATGAATAATTGGAAGCATAACTTAATTGGTAGGTCATGCAGTTCCTCTTACCTTCAATTTGATGGGGTCCAATCTCCATTGCACTTCTTTAGAAATGTGTTGTCTGTCTTCCCTTGTTTGAACATCCTTGAGGATGCAGTCATTAACTTGCTTTACAGCTGTACTTTCAACACCTATGATATATCTGTGCAGTGTGGGGACTTCAGACATCCGTTGGACCCTTTAAGCAAGGCGAATCCCCGGGAGGGAGGACATGACATGCTCATGGTGTTTCTGGAGGTCACTGTGATTTGGGCTTATCATTTATCCTCTCAAGTCTGTCATCAGCATCCTCGCCCCTCAAGTGTCCATTCTCAACCACCAGAGGTTGGTTGCTGGCGGTGGCATTTCTGATGCTTGGTGAGCATTCTGGACAGGACACTGGCTCCAGGAGCTCGGCTGCAATGGCACACTATGCCCCACCTCCAGCCCTACCACTCATAAGACTCAGGAACTAGGAATTCATTTGGACTTGAATGTGGAGGCTTTAAGTGTGGTTGATGCAACTTGGGTGGGAATAACAGCCAGAGAGGCCTGGCACAGGCAAGGATATACTGGCAGAAGGTGGAGGGCTAACTTGGTGCCCACAATAGCCAGGAGGTGGCAGGAGGGAAGGCAAAATGCCCTGGGGCTGTGGAGGTGGGAGGCTGGTCTTCGGAAGCATGGTCTCCTGGCCTAGGTGCCTGCATAAGCTGGGGTGAAGGAGGTGTGTGGGTGGCAGGAGGCAAAGCTCCAAATGGGCTAATATACAAGGACCACTCGGCTTTGCCTTTGGTTCCACGTTTTACTCAGGTAGCCCTGCATCCAAGCCACTTGGCAGGCAGGACCCAGATACTGTGTCATCATGTAGCACTCTGGCTCCCCTTAGACCCATGGTTTCTCTACCGAATGTAAACAAAGACACGAGAACTCTCATGGTGGCGCAGTCTTGGAGAAATGCTTCTCTAATGGTTCCTCTACCCCAACAGGACAATGGTCATCCAGGGAAAGGGAGGAAATTGCTGTGTGGAGACAGAGGCACCCCTCAGGAAGGGCAATTCGCCAGCTGTCCCTAAGCTCCCAGGCCTCCTCGAGGAACATCCCCGCCACACGTCTGGGAGAGACTGTGGAACTCCAGGTAGCCTTGCTTCCTGGTCTTCCTTCCCTGCCCACGTTTGTCAAGAGAACCTCACAGCTTGCTGGGGGCGGCGCAGAGCCAGGGAGTGGGTGAAGGCAGAGCCTCCCTTGCTATGGCTGCAGACTGCCAGGCTTGCTCTGGCTCTAGAAATAAAAACAAACAGTTCCAAAGCCTCACACTGTGGCAGACCGTTTGCCCAAGGCCAGTGTGTTTTCTTAAATGAGTGTATGTTTGTACATAATGGACACAGTACGCGATGAACATAATCATCACAGGAAATTGGTGCATAATATATAGTCCAGGTTGATTCCTTTTACTTCTTCTTTCCTTCTCTTCCCTCCCATCTTCCCCCATCTCCAGATCTCCTTCCCATCCCCACAGTCTTATCTCCCCTTTTCCTACCACATAATTTTTTATTTTGCTCTTTAAATGATTTACACTTTGAGTCTCTCGTGTAAGAGAAACCATGTGATATTTAACCTCCTGTGTCTGATTTATTGCACTTAGCATCATGATCTCAAGATGCATCCACTTCTTGCAAATGGAACAGGAATGGAGGCTGAAGCGAAGCGGGGAGCTAGATGTTGGACGTTCCAGGTGAGCGCCTTGAAGCACAGGAGCAGACGGAGTCAAGGTCCAGGAGCGGGCGCTTGGGGCTAAGGTGGACAAGGGCTGCATTTAGAAGTGAGACCCAGGGCCAGGGGCCTGGGAGAGGCAGGAGACTTCTGGGCACTGTAAAATTTGGGGGCCAATTGAAACCTGATGCAGAAGTTTGGTGGAGAATTGAGCTAGGTAAGAATCAGAGACAGAGCCAGGTGTGGCGGCCCAGGCCTCTGATCCTGGGACGCTGCAGCAGGAGGTCTGGACATTTGAGCTCAGCTTGGGCCTCACTGGAACGTCCAGCGACAGAAGTTAGTAGAAGGACACAGACCCATGTTCATAGCAGCACAACTCACAATAGCTATATTATGGAAGTGACCTGTATGTCCATCAATAGGTGGATGTACAAGGAAAATGTGGTATGTACAATGGCGTGCTACTCAGCCATAAAGAGAGGTAAATTCTGGTCATTCGTGGGAAAATGGATGTACCTTGAGGCTAAATTGCCAAAAATGGAGAGACAGATGCGTTATTTTTCTGCAAGTTCATTTATTTAGGGGGAGGAGAGGAGGGGGCATTACAGAGACCTCTGTTGAGAATTTAAGCAGCACAGGAAATAAATGGCCCCTTAAAAGATTCGGGAGAAGGCTGGGGAGGGGAGCTCTGTTAAAGGCATCTTCCCAAGAAAGCTACTTGGTTACACTGGTGCAAAGTAAGTATTCCATTAAAAAGGCAACGACTTCCTCTTCTTGGTTATCATGAATAGTGCTGCCATCAACACAGGAGCGCATGTGTGTCTTCGATATGCAAGCATCTTTTGGGCATACATGCCCTCTGGACATGCACCCAGGTGTAGAGCTGCCAGGTCATAGAGCAGATCCATGCAAGTTTGTGAGGAAACTCTACTTTGTTTTCCATAAACAGTGTCTAAATTTAGATTCCCACCCACAAGGTGCAAGGGTCCCCTTTTCTCCTTGTCCTCACCACGGCTTGTTTTCAGCAATGTCCTGTGCATACATAATGAAATGCTATTTGGCCGTAAAAAGGGAAGGAAATCCTACCACCTGCAACAGCAGGATGCCATTATGCTAAGGACGAGCCAGACACAGAAAGACAAATAGAACATGATGCTACTCATATGTGGAATCTGATGGTGGTTGCCAGGGCTGTTGTGGTGGGGGCCAGGGGGTGGGGAGTTGGCCAAAGGGCACAAGATGTCAGCCATCGGGAATAGTTCAGGAGATCTACTGTGTGTCATCATGACTCTGGGTACTAAGTCTGAACTGAAAGCTCAGGGTATATGAAAACCCTGCCAAAAGAGTAGATTTTACATGTTCTATTCTTGCCCCAGATAAATGATATGTATGTTAATTAGCTTGGATTAGCCATTCCTCAACGTATACATGTTGCAAAACAACATGCCGTACACCATAAGTGTATGTTTGTATTCCTCCATTTCAAAATAACGAGAAGAAAATAAAAAGCTCAGGGGGGAGGCTAAGGAAGAGATGAGAGACTGGCAGTTGGACCGCAGATGCCCGATGGGCAGTGGAAAGCAGGATGGAGCTGGGCCTGTCTACCTTTATTTTCTGTCTCCTCTCTTACTTGAACACTTTGGCTCAAATCCCCGGTCAGCTGCACTCGTAGGCACACTCCTCTCTTAAGGAGTATGTCTAAACACTAGCAGTACCACTATTATTAGCCCTAAATTTCCCCAGCCAATCTCAGCTTCCTTTCAGACTGAGGACACCCAGATCAGAGTGACTGAGGCAGTCCCAGGGAGAGCAGAACCTCAGAGATTACCCTATGATGAGCTGACCCACTCCCAAGCAGGAGTGATCATCTCAGAGAAGCCAGATTGCCCCCGTAAACCCTGAGGGCTTCCCAGAGCCACCATGAACAAGCAGTCCTGAGATCACAATCAACTTGCACAGCTGGACCAGGATGTCTTACCCTGCCAACTGTGTGCCGTGCCAGCTGTGCAAAGCCCTAACCCCTGCCTTTGCTCTTCTCCTCCCCTACAAACTCCCAGTGTTTCCGTGGGCCCCAGGGATCTTGCACTTCATGATCTGTGCTTCCCAGCATGGCCACACTAATGAAAGCTCATTTCCTGGCCTGGACCACGGCTCATCTTCTTGATTGGCATTTTGGGACTGGTGGCTGAGCCTGGTCTGTTTGGGCCCCAGAGCTGGGACACTGACCCTAAAACTCTGGCCATAGCTGAAACCTGGGCTATGGCACTTGCTGGGAGTAGAATCAAACCAAAGCGCCAACGCTTTTCCCTAGAAATCACAGGCAACTGTTGTATTCCTGTCACTTCCTGTACGCATCTGTCAGAACGCAAACCCTGGGTCTGCCCTCATGTAATTGAAAGTAATGAGCTTTGGCCTCAAGTGCGCCCTTAGCACAGCCCGGCAGGCACCCTCCGGTTCTGTGGAAGACGTGCCCTCTCTTCTGGCGCCCACAAGAGTCCTTCAAGCCAGGCCTCCCTGCTGCTCCTAGTCCTGCATGGGCTCCAGGGAGCCGCGATCAGGAATGACTGTGGATTTGAGGCTGTGGAAGGAAGGAGGTGAGGACGGGGTCAAGGTGTGGTGAAGGCGAGGCATAAAGCAGCAGAAGAACTGTGGTTTGGGGGTGCCTGCACGGAGGAGGGCAAGAGCACTGCTGGCGAGTAGGGCGAGGAGTTCGATCATTTCTGAGGGTGAAATCACCAAGACTGTACACAGTCAGCCAATGCTCCTACCTGGTCTGAGCATCTATTCTCTTCCCCGAGAAAACAGAGCTTCCCTGGATCCAACCCTTGCCTCTCCCACCTGCCTGCATCTGTGCCTCTGGTACCACCAACTGCCCCCTCTTCCCAGACGCATTAGCATCCTGACACATTACCATTCTGTCATCTCGCCCTTGGTTTAAAAAAAATTTGTAATTCATTCCTACCCCCACTTCTGTTGTTGTTTATAGCAAAGCTCCTTGAAAGAGTTGCCAGTGTGTCCATAGCCACGTTTCCAACTCCCTTTCCCTGCTCTTGCCAGAAAGCACTCTGATCTGCCTTCTTCCCCCATGTCCCCTCGGAGACTGCCTTGACCTCACTCACAGCCTCCACACTGACCACCGTGATGGTCAGCTCCTTCCTGTGTAGAAGCAAGTGACTGCTCACTGCCTGTCCAGCCTGCCTCCCTGTCACCCCGGTGCCCTGTTTCCCGGGACCCCTCCTGTCCTCTAACTGCCCAGGGCTTGCTGCTGTGTCTGCTTCTCTTTTCTGTACCCGCTGTCCTGTGGATACCAATCTCATGACTCTTAGTGTTGCTGCCCTGGCACTTATTCTCCGGTCACACCTCCTGCTCTGACTGTGTCTCTGCCACCAGACCCCTGTCTCTGTCACCTGTGTCACTGCCATCTTCCTCATCTCTGCCCTTTCTGTCCTTCTGAGTAAAAGCCAGACAGCCATCCTTGACTTGGACCTTTGTGTGCTTGCCCAATGCCAAACTGTCAGCAGACTCCAATGAGTCTTCCATTAAAATCAACCCATAATCTCCCTCCTGCTCATTGTGTCCTGTAAACCACTGTCCTGTCTCACCTGGGTGACTTCGATAGTGTCCCCAATATTCTCCTAGCTTCCCCCCTTGCAGTCCAGCTTCAGAAAGCACCCAGTCGGTCCTCAGCCGCTGTGCTGTGCTGTCTCTCTGACTGCTTGGCTTCCTGCCTAGTGTTTGGAAGGGCAGGTGTTTGCGCTTGGTTTATTGGTCTCTGTAATCCCGGGTCCTCGAAGAGTACTTGGCACATAATATCACTGAGTAAATCCTTAATGTATTAGTTTGCTTGGGCTGCCATAGCAAAGCCCCACGGACTGCGTGGCTGAAACAGGAGAAACGTAGAGCACACTGCTGTCTTCTCACTGCGTCCTCCTAAGGGAGTCTCTGCATGTGTTTCTGTGGCTGAACCTCCTCTTACAAGGGCCCCAATCTCACTGCACGAGGGAGGGTTCTGCCTAAGGACCTCATTTTACCTTAGTTACCTCTTCAAAGACATTATCCCTGGATATAAAGCTGTTCTAAGGTACCGGGGTCAGGATTTCAACACATGAACTTGGGGAGGGGTCACAGCGAAGCCTATAACCTGATTAACGAACTAATCATGTGCAGAGATGGAGTAAGGGTCCATCCTTGTGTCTGGGTTCAAGGACTCTCAGTGAGGCTTGGTAAAGACACAGGGGCCTGGGACAGTTGAACTCAGAGAAGGGCACGTTCTGGGATGGATGAGTGTCAGAGAAGAATGGATGCACTACAGAGAAAGCACTCCTCTCAGCCTAGCGTGAGTGTGCCAGGCTTGCAATGGGAGGAAGCAGAGGCCAGAGCTGCTCTTGGTGTTGGGGACACCACCACGGCGATGGAGAGCCTCTTGTGGGTGAGGCTCTGTGTGGGATGCTAGGGACAGAGGAAGGCCTAGGCCTCTGGCCCCGAGGGAGAACAGCGTGCAGCTGGATGCTGGCCAAAGCTGTCGCGGATTAAGCTCCCAGGGAAGCAGCAGGCACTCGCTATCTAAGTCACTGTGCGCTCCATTCTATTAACAACCTTCAGAGGCAGACACTATTAGCATCATTCCTTCAGGCAGATAAGGAAATTGAGGTGCAGACATGCTAAGTCCTGTGCTAACTATCACAAAGATGAGAGGCGAGGCCGGCAGTCCACACCCAAGGAGCTGCTGCCAAGCCCAAGGACCTGCTCTTGGTGCTCGGCCTCTCTGGCCACACGCACAGACTACAGTTTATACTTCCCTGCAGATGGCTCTGGGAACGGAATGGTCCACTTGGGTGGGTGCAGAAGCCCTTGCCTGACCTCATCTGCACTGCGTGGGAAGTATGAATACGAGTGGCATGGCCGCGGGTGGGAGGAAAGGCATTCAGGACAGAGAGGGAGCTAGAAGTGCGCTGGCGTCCATCCTGTAGCCAGAAGCTCAGGTGCAGAGAGGAGGGCACGAGCCATTTGCCCCGCGTGCCCACAGGAAGCGATCCCTTCTGTTCCCCAAGTTGTGTGCATGGGCTCCGTGGTCCTTGAGAGCAGGTGTGAACATGCTGCTGGCCTAGGAGGCTCAGGTTAGTGCACGGAGAGTACAGTCTATTTCTGTGCCAACCAGTGTTTCTCTATGCGGTCCTGGGGCACCAAAAGAGCCCATTATCATCCGCAGGTGATTTCTTTCTCTGTGGAACCTGTGGCTCAGGCGCTGAGCCATGGCTCCCCGGACCCTCAATGGCAATGGCAGGAGGGCTGCAGAGTCCTCATGCAAGGGTTGCCTCGTGGACTAGGAAGAGGAAGCCGGCCAGGGAAGCACCGTGAGAAGCTGGGCAGTGAAGGCAGAGGCCCTGGAGGGAGGAGGCGGAGAGACCAAAGGGTAGGGCTGAGCTGGGGTGCCCAGCCCAGGCAGTCCCGCGAACTGCAGCAATGGAGGCCCTGGGGATTGCCCCTCCCGGCAGGGCAGGTGGGCTTTCTCTGCCTGGGATGCGGGTGGGACTAGCTCTAAGACTTCCGCAGGGTCATTCCCATTAAATGCACCACACTGTGGGAGGGCGGAGCGCCCGTTAGCGGGGAGCTCCGGCCCCTCTTCGGAATCAAACCCGAGCTCCCTCGGAACGGGCTTGGCTCGCTCCTTCTGGTTTTCGTCGGTGTCGTGCTCCCTGGAGTGTCACCTCTGCTCCCAGCCTGTTGTCCCAGGGCCAGGCCGGGCACGGAGGACCCTCATCTCGTGCTCCTTGCCGCCCCAGAACAGTCCTTCCGCTCCTCTTCCTGCGCCTTAGGCTTTCCCGAGACCGTTTCCTCCTCCATCTGGCCACAGCCTCTCGAGGACGCAGGCTTCTCCCCATTTCTCAGATTTGACCGGGGAGAAGCTGTGGTCCCAGAGCATGGCGGGGGGAGGTACGTGAGGAAGCCAAGGTCACTCAGTCATTGGTAGAACGCGGCCTCGACTCGGCCCTTCTGCGGCGGGCCTGGCGGAGCCCCGGCAAGGCAAGGCGGGCCGGCTGCCGGCACGCGCCCCCCTCTCGCAGGCGGCACCGCGGACCCGGCCGGCAGGCATGGCAGGTGAGCTCAGTGGGGGACCC